TGAAACAAGGCTGTAAAGCAAGCAGTGGTTATGAGAAACAATGCAAGGTATGTGTGTTCAGGCATAGCAGTGTGCCTCTTTTACAAACGCTGATATTTTTTTCTGCTGATTTTTCCTTGTAAACCATAAAAACCCAACATGTAACTATGGAACACTCATTTTACCTTTGATTCCATTGCTCAGATTTCCTCAAAGGATCTGATTGTAAGAAAACAAGCTGAAGGCAGATTTCCATTCAACTACATGCAGGAAATGTTGGAAGATTGAAGGAACATCAAGTTTTCCCTATTTGATGTGTGTAAATGTGGCGTTCATACCTAATACGGCTGCCTCATGAATCATTTTAACAAATGCAATGCAAGTACAGAGGTAAGATGAGACTACATCTTGAGAGACTACATTTTGATGAGGTGTCTCAGTTAATTATCACTGGCAAACAACGTCTTTTCAATAACATAGCAATAACAAATTACTTACATTGAAGCAGTAATGTCTAGCTCCTAAAAATGTATTGTGAATGCCATACAAAGGAATTACTGAGTTTATTTTAGTTCACATTGTCCAGTGTAAGTGCTTGACAAGTGTTCCTGCTCCTGTATACATTATAACAAATGGCATAAGTACCCATGCATTGCAGTAAACGGTATTATGTGACTGCATTCATGGGCCCAGTCTGTGGTCATTAACGTATGTTTTTTTATGAGGCATTCATGGCCCTCTGGAGACAAAGCTGATGGAGAGCACTCTGAACGGCTCCATTGACTGCGCCAACTGCAACTCCCGGCTAAAACCAACAGCAGAATTACATGCTTTAGTGAGCAAGACTCCTATAAACCAGTCCTGAGAGAATGCTTGGACCCCAGCCCTCGGTGACTCTCTGTCTCAAACTGCGATGGGATGGAGGAAGGGGAGTACTAGGGAATAGGGGGAGGGGGGGGGGCTCATGTTGCTGTTGTTTTCTTCGCTGAATACCGCAGCTTGGAAGCGAGGGAAATGCAAACATCATAACTCGGAACCTCCAAAGAAAATAAGAGACAGCAGCTCAGGGTTCAGGACAAACTTAAAAGATTTCACATGAAAACAAATCTCAATTAGTGTCTCAAATTGATACTTTATTTTCCTTGCCAGCTGAAACTGAAGTCAATTAACAGTGAAGCCAGAAGCAGTGGAGCACGGTAGAAAAGGTCCAGTGGGGATTTCCATTCCAAAGCACATGCCCTTTCTTCTTTTCTTATAAGCCCTTGTTTGGGACATTGTCCGAGTCCGTTGGGACGAAGCCCTTTCTCCCTCATTAGGGTCCCTAACTAGCCCTGTTTGAGCTCAACCTCATCTATCAGAGCACCTGATTGTTCTCAAAGCAGCCTTTTATCGGCGTGGGGTAATTTTGCTGTTCCTTTTGGGACCGTGTTCATTTGTTTTTTACCGCTTTGTGACGTCTTTAGGGGCCCTATTAGTGTCTAACTCTGAGTGTCTCTAAGGGTGATGGAAAAAAATCTGAACCAATTACCTGTTAACCCAAGACAGAGAGAGAGAGGAAAGAAGGAATAGGAGATGGAGAGAGAGAAAAATAGACGAAACGGCGAGGCAATATAAGGTGTTTAAGACGTCTCCAGGGATTGCCAGTTTGTGATGAAATATGGCTGTGCAGTTGAAGGTGCTGGGAAGTTCATCTCTGCCTGTCTCACCAAACAGGCCCATGAATTATAGCAGGCAGTGTTGAGGCAGCAGGGGCCTGAGAGGCAGAGAGCATAACCCTGAGAATGGAGCTGCTCGTATTCACCATCGACACTAATTGGTTTGGTTGGCTGCTGTTCCTCGGCCTAAACACAGAGGCTCTGTTGAGTTCACTGATCTCAGCCTACATTGGGATGCCTGACTGGTCTTCAAGCTGCACTAGGATGCTCGATGTGCTGATGCTTTAGGTCGGGGTATCAGACTCATTTTAAGTAACGTGTCATGCTACATTACACTTAGTCCCATGAAGAATTACACATTATTATTAGCACAGTTTTGTCAGTGGTTTATGGCCTAGAGTTTATGGCTTTAGTTTGCCAGAGACTAGCCCTTTTTCAAATCTGTCAGTCCAATTACGACAAGATGATTTTAATTTCGAACACTGCTTCTAAACTCATTTCGGTCCCTGGATTAGAACCTTTCTCAGGCTATTTGTTTGACACCATGTGTTTGGACTGTATGGACTGGACTTGGAGGTCCAGTATTCTAAGGATGTAGCTGCACTAATCAACTAGCTACTTTCTTGATACTGGTCAGTCTAAAAAATTTCTAGCTGTACTAATAAGCTCAGTTTCCAGCAATATCCTCCTGTGACATCAGTGCAGCAAATAACTGCTAACCTTTTATGGCAATAATGAAAATAGAGCCCCAACAACAAATTAGCACCAGAGTCAGTGAAAAGACGTAACAAATATTTCAATATAAAAATAGCCAAACATGGCGAAAAGTATGTGGACACCTGACCATCACATCATATGTGCTTGATGAACATCCCATTCCAGATTTAGTCCCCCTTTGCTGTTATAACAACCTCCACTCTTCTGGGAAGGCTTTCCACTAGAGTTTGGCGCGTGGCTGTGGGGATTTGTGCTCATTCAGCCACACGAGCATTAGCAAGGTCAGCTGGGCGAGGAGGCCTGGGGCGCGGTCAGCTTTCCAATTCATCCCCAGTGTGCAGTGGGGTTGAGGTCAGGGGTCTGTGCAGGACACTTGAGTTCTTCCACTCCAACCTTGGTAAACCCTGTCTTCATGGAGCTCGCTTTGTGCACAGGGGAATAGGTTTGGGCCCTTATTTCCAGTGAAGGGAAATATTAATGCTACAGCATACAAAGACATCCTACATACTTGTGTGCTTCTGCCTTTGTGGCAACAGTCTGGGGAAGAATCACATGGTCAGGTGTGATGGTCAGGTGTCCACATACTTTTGGCCAAATACTATATCTGTTTTTATGTCTGTTTCATCGTTTTATGTTTTATTTGTCTAAACTAATTACTGAATAAAGAAGGCCACAGTAGTCTTTCCTTGATTGCAACCCAGATACCCGAAACATCTTTCTTGACAATGTGGCCTCACCAACAGCTCAAGCATACACTTGATTTTGGCAAAAAATGAAACAAAATTCAGGAGCACAGCTAAAACGTTCGTATCAGGGTGAATGTTTCCTTTAATACTGAACCCAATTCTCAGTTCAGATTGCAGGTGAACAGTAACACCACCAGTAATTTTACATCTATTTCTGTCTCCAGACGCAGCATTCCGTGTATGTGTGTGTGTGTTTGTGTGTGTGTACTGTAGTACCCATTGTGTTTAATAGAGCGTGGCAGAACTCTGTGCACGAGAACGCAACTCTAATTAAATCACCGCTCGTTTTCTGCCTCACTGAGGCCACTTCACTGGGCTGTCAGATAATCAGTCGAACCTCTGCAATTACACACTCCCAGCAGACGCAAACGCTACCTGATGGCGGGTCAAATTAAGGACCGGGCCAATTGCTCTGAGCATTTGGAGCAGCTTGGTTTAATTCGTCTGTGTAGGGGGTCGTCATAAACGTAACCTCGGCCAGTTTTACAGAAACGCGGACGCATAAACACACACACACACACACAAAATCTGATCTTGTGTGTATAAGTGAGAGCATAACAGGACATCTAAACAAATCTGAAAAGGGATTTTTAGATTTTTAGTATGTGTGTGTGTGTGTGTGTGTGTGATGTTTCCCACCCGCTCAACCTCCTACCCACTGTCAACTCTAATGAACTTTTATTGACTGTGACACTCCAAGCACAGACAGAACGACCCTCTCCCCCACTTCGAAAACCAAGAGGGGAGCTCCCACCACACACACCACACAATTCATCTACACATCTGTCCCATAGGGTGGGAAAGGACGTGATGAATGATGCAGAAAGAGTGTCTATTTAGTAAACGTACGTGCCTGCGTATCATCACGGCTCCAATCAAGTGAGAGAGCGGTAGATTCCCACCATAAATATGCTACACCATCAGTAACTAATCCTATAAAACCTGAACCAAACAATGTTTACATGTCTGGCTGCTATTCTACAAATTCCTTGATCCGGAACCACCTCTTCGATTAGCCGTAATTCCAGCCGTCAAGACCCTTTGCCCCTTCCCTGCCATATTTTCGAGCGTTAGTGCTATTTCCTCACGAACGAACATGGCGCGCTGCTCTCACCTTCCTACATAAATATCAGAGAGCCCCGGGGTCTCGGTCCCTAGTGTTTGTGTAGTATCATCAGTAGAACCCAAAGAGCCACGGATCAGAAATCTGCTCTATTTAAGTCCCGTTACTTTTTCAGCCATTTATAAACCACACATCGTGTTTTGTCTAAGGCTTATCTCACCAGAGTCTGCATGTAATACCTATAAGCCTTTGCGGTCCCTCTGGGGCTGATCACAGATCAGTTAATACACAATTTTAAGCCTCTAAATGAGAGAGGCAGTTCAGGGTGATCGGTGAGATTATTATCAGGATTTTTAGGCCGGAGAAATTCGTAGCAGTTTCCAGAACCAGACAGAGAATGGCCAAGAGGCAGATAACGGATAATCCCATGCACATATGTGTTATCTCTATATGTATATTTGAATACGAGACCAGCTCATCGTGTACAAAATCTGACTCTGGATCAGAATTTAAATTCAGAGACAATTAGATGTATTTCAGAGTGCTGATCTAATGTAAATGCATCCAGCAAAAACTGAGGCTACATCAAGATAATCTACAAACACACACAGGACGATGAGGTTATTTAATTCTATTCTAGAGCAGGTGGGACATGTTAAAATTTTTTTTAAAAAAACACGAGGTAGGTTAACGATAATGAGAATGGGTATTCCCAAAATCCATCTACATAAAATTATTTATTTTTCAAATATTATCCATCTCATTTTTTTCACTCATCTATAAATTTAAAAAGAGCAATATTCCATTTTTAAGGACGTAAATTTTATTATTTAAGTAGGGTCCCTGGCGGACTTGTGGTTAGGCCACGGCACTCTCGCTACTGCCGCCTGGGTTCAATTCCCGGCCAGGGAACTACATGACAGTGCTCTCCCAGTGCCGGTCCCAAGCCTGGGTAAAACTTGGAGAAGGTTGCATCAGGAAGGGCATCTGGTGTAAAACTGCACCAAATCAAATATGCGGACCAGTGATCTGCTGTGGCAACCCTTAATGGGAGCAGCTGAAAGTAGAAGAACAAGCTTGAGTATTTAAGTGTACTTTTTTATTTTAATAAATATATATATAAATAATAAATAAATAATAAAGCCAATTACGTCTTCTCAGTCAAACCTACTAATCAGAAACTATAAAAATAATAATAATAAAAAAAACTATAATCCAAGCAGATCAGCCATAAAAATCTGTGCCAAATAATTATATGTAAAGTATAAAGTGCATTTTAACTATTTAAATATTCAGTGTTTGTAAATTATATATATATATATATATATATATATATATATATATATATATATATATATATACTATTAAAATAATAATGACCTAATTATTTATATCGTATGTACATTCTTATTCAAAATATTTTTCTTAATTTCTTATATTTATTTTCCATTAACGCATTTATTATACATTGTCTTTTGGTGCAACTAGTGTATTTGTGTACAATATTCTATTAGACTTTTGTGAAATTAATAGTGCAAAATTGCAGTAATATTGATCTTGTGTGCGATCAATAGAAATATGAAGTGAAGCCCTGTAAACGAGGCTGCTAATGCTCGAGTTGACCTCTGACCTGTTCCCTCTCTCAGGGCCAGCAGGGGCAGATAATGGCTTCCATGAAGGTCCAAGGGGCCCTGTGACTTTTGAGCTGAGCGTTTGTTGGTTGGACGGTAGGTTAATGGCGACCTGTCACTTGTCGTCAGCTTCGATTACGAGAGCAAGACGCTGTATTTGTCCTCGTTTATTAGTTTGCCATGCGCTGAGGTGATCTGCGTTTCATTACGCACTTTCTGGAAGCGATCCATGCCAAAGCTCACTCCCACGCACTCACACACCTACTCACAATTCTCACATTTCTGAAAATAGGCCTGTGTACGGATTTCCGTCAGACACGCTCGCATGTTTTGGTACTAAGCAGAGCTACATGCTTTCACAGTGGGCTGAAGAAGAACAATGTTCTGGAAGCAATCTGGTGTAATTTCGGTGTATGTTACACGAGCATGAAAAACATCTGAAGATCCATGTTTCATCTGATTCAACTCTCGCCAGTGAGAACATGCGTTGTGTCAAAGTGCCAGTGCGTTCAAAGCATTCAGCGTAATGCTAGTTCCAAACCGTTCCTGGTGACGGAGGCCTACGGTCTGTCGAGATTAGCATTTACATCCGCCAAGCTGTGTTTCATGAGAGACGTGGTTTATACAATGCCGTGTGCAATCGATCGAGCGTGAGGGTGCACAATGGTTCCTAGCGCTGTGTAAAAGACCACAAAGAGGCCACGCTGAGGTCATAAACCAAGGGTGGGTCATGAACAATGTGAAGCTAATAAGCTAGCAGAAGTCTTAAGGTCGTGAGGAGAGAGAAAAGCCTGGGACGTGAACTGTGCTGACATGCATGGGGTTAAAATCCTGGCAGAAGTGTGAGGTCGTAAACCAGAGGTTAAGAGTCAGTAATAAGTGTGAGGTCATAGCATATGGACTGAGATTTATAAGTTTATATTGAAATATTTGTTGTTTGGTGCTGTATTTTCATTATTCGGGTGAGAATTTAGCAGCTGTGTCCCACTCTGGCATCACAAGAGGACACACATAAGTGGTAACAGTCAGGGTTCACTCTGAAAACTTTGGTTAACAGCTTCCTACATTACCCACGATGCCGTGTGACTAACCGATGATAGTTGCACCAGTGGGAAATCGTCTCTACCTAAAGAGAACGATGCAGCGGCACTTTAGTTTTTTTAGTCTGTCCAGCTCTCTCGCCTCCTCATCTGTACACTCTGCTCAAAGCTTCCAAAGCTTCTACTTTCATGCTGTCAGCACCATCATGCTAATCATCTCATACACCGCTAACTACCCGAATCAACTGTAGTCCAACTTTAAGTCCAACGTTTGCTCCACTACTTGTACGGAAATACAACACCAACCAACAGATTAGCACCGGAACCACTAACACATCAGAAATATCTCAATATAAATGGACTTAATGTGTTTCAGGGTGGAGTTTTGCGTTAACTTCCGTGACAAGGTCCATATTTAGTTCTTTAGTTTCATTTGAACAATACTGGTAGCATTTCTGCCTTCTCGTGGTGGTAAACTGCACTGCCAAGACACGGGACACACCAACCAGTAACTGTGTTTAGTTGAAATTTTCACTCGACCTTTAAAAACGAAAATGACTTGCCTGAGAATTACTGTATTCGAGTGCCATATACCAAAATGATTCAATTGTTTCAGATTTGTAGTCAGGATGTGGTTTCTGTCTCAAACCTAAACCAGATTTTGGTGCATTCGATTTCTCAATTCCGATAAAATATCAAAGGGACCGTGTTTTTCATTCTTTTTTTTTTTTTCTTTTTAGAATGAGCTAAATGAGAAAAACGTTTGAAAGAAAACAAGCCAACGAAGACCTGCCGACTGCTTCATGTCCACGCTCATGTTGAATTCAGCGTATATGACCTGCGGACGTGTAGATCTCCAGCGATATCCTTCGATTAGTCGGACTTTTTGAGGTTCACGTCTTGCCATTTGTCTCACCTGTGTGACCTCTCTCGGTTCATTCGTGTCAAACCTGGCCCAGATTGCATCCAAAGCAAATTCATTATCTCAGGATATGACATCAGGGGGTCGGCCTCATGGAGTTATTTAGCACGCGCGTCGATCGGATCGCGCATTGCGTTTGAAGAAGATTGGACAAAGATTGAAAGAGCATGACTGACAGTGCCTGGACGGAGTTAGGAGCTGTGAAGAAAGCAGGTATGGAGAATCATGTTTCCTTTTTTAAGGCTTAACCACAAATCCAGTTCAGTTCTTTCCACTTACAGAGCCGATATTTGATATGCAAGAATTTTAGAACATTTACAGTTGAAAATCCAGAATAGTCTTGATATAGTCTTAAGGCTTTTTTTAAATTCCTTCATTTAAAAAAAGACATAAAAGTCCGAAAGGATGTAAAACCTGATTTCTGTCACATTAACGTTAAATCTTATCATTTCCAGATGAACATATCCTGTATACTTTACTCAAAAAAAAAAAAAGCAATAAATGTCATTCTCGATCCTGTTACAGACTCTGGTGCTCTGAGGCACCAGGCCGAGGCAGGTCCCTTGCCCCCGTATCTCCAGCACTTTATCTTTCACGAGTTCAGGAGTACAGCTGCAACACACTGCCATCTAATGGAACATCTCTAAACCCTCAGATGAGTCTCTTCTCTCAGCCATGAGCATCTGCTCTGATTATAGGAACGTTCTGTTTCCTAAAGGTTACGTTGGAGCAAACTGCATCTCGACTTGCCCTTTTTTTTTTTTAAAACATGGTTTTTCTCCTTTCATCATGCGTTCATCATACGTTAAATAATCACAATTCACATTTAAATATCATTTAACGAAACATTTTCACATGTGATTTATCCATATACAGTGCATGTCTTTATTTTAACATTGATATATTGATATATTTATATGTGACTTGAACACAATTTTCATGTTAATTTTTCACGTGCGTGTTTTTTTCCCCCACAGGTGATTTTTACACGATTAAATCTTTTTACATATAAATCCAACATAGTGCACGTTTTTCTTTATTTTAACGTGTACTTTTTCCATATTACTCATTTACTGCATATTCACGTGATTTTTACACAACTTATTTTTTCACATGTAGTGTTTTTACGTATTTTCATTTTCACGTTATATTTTTCCCCACACGATTTGTTCATGATCTCTCATGATTTGATCTTCTTATATTTCTCTTATGTTAATTTTTCATATGTAGTGTGTGCGTTTTATTGTGATTTTTTTTTCCACATGATAAATTTACTTTCACGTTATTTATTTTTAAAATGTTTGGCATATCTCTTTATTTTCACTTTTTTTTTTTACCTCATGGCTCGTTTATTTTCATGTGATTTTCTTCACATAATTGATTTATTTTTCACATGTGTAATGCACGTGTTTTTATTTTCAAGTCTGATTTTTATGATTAATTTATTTTCATGTGATTTTTCACATGTAGTGCATGTTTTTTTTTTTCAAATGTGATTTGCACACGATTTTCATTTAAATTTCATGGGGTTTTTTTTCATGTCATTTGTTTTCACATATTTTTCACATAGTGTTTGTGTCTTTTTTTTTATTTTCCAAAGCGATTTTTTTAAAGGATTTATTTCTTTTGACATGTTAATTTTTGAAATGAAAGGCTTGTCTTTTTATTTTCACATGATTGATTTATTTTCACATGATTTATTTATTTTCATTTGTAGGGCATACAGTTTTATTTTTCAAATATGATATTCTCACACTATTAAGTTATTTTTACATGTTCCCATATCGTTCACATTATTTTACAAGTGTTTACTTGAATTCACATGTGCAATTTCAAGGCATTCCCACCTCGCGCTCATTGTTCCCGGGACAGGCTCCGGGTTCCACCGCCACCCGAAAGATTGAACCTCACGTGTTTTTTACATATTAGTCGCATAATCACATGTGAAGTGTATATGATTTCTCTGTAAGATGTGTACACTGGATGGCCTTGAGCATGTCTGTTTGATATTAAATGGAGGTCGCTGAAAGGAAAAAAAAGTCTTTTCAAAAAAGCTGACAAAAGCCATGCAGGGAGGTCTGTCATTTTCTTGGCATTTTGGCTTTTTGTTGCAGTGCAGAGACGATGTCGCACCACCGTGGACAAAAAGCGTCAGGCGTCTGGCACTGCCTCTGTAAACAGCAGTTCTTTAGCAACACCGAAGGCGAAACAAATCAGAAAGCGATGGCACACTCGAGAGCAGTGAATAAACCACCAAGTTTCAAAGGCCCAGAAACACCAAACAGTTTGGATCAATAGGTACGCCAGCCAGTCTGGAGT